TTTCTCATTATTAAAACCAGTTGTCATTGGGAGGAGTCTGACTCATGACAAATCCATATGTGTTAGAGTACAGCTGTGCTCCACAGGCTTTTCAATGGCTGATTTTTCAGAAGTAGATTGCCAGTTCTTTCTTCTGAGGTGTCTCGGGATGGACTTGAACCTCCAGTTTTTGGTTTAGCAGCTGAGTGCATTCACCATTTGTACCACCAGGGCCTCCTTTCTCACTATTATGAACTGCTATTTTGATCATATGCTAAATAATTGCGTATATATTTGGATCTGTGTCTGGGCTTTCTGTGCTTTCACTTCAGTCTACCCACTCTGTCAGGACGGAGATGTTTGATTTTATGTTTGACTGCCCAGCAGTGTAAAGTTCAATATTCTACAATATTTTTTAGGCTATCCTTATCTGTTCATTCTTTAGGCTACCTTATGAATTATTTTATCAAGCCTCTCCTTACTTCCCAATTTCCTTTCAAATTTGGCTTGAAGCTATCAAATGTGTCAAATTTATTTGACATTGTATTAGTTATATATTGTTGTGTAACAAATTACCCTAAAACTTAGCAACTTAAAACAATGAATATATATCTCACATTTCTGAGGCTCAGAAATCCAGTAGTAGCTCAGCTGGGTGATTCTGACACAGGGTTTCTCGTGACGTTACAATGAAACTACTGACCTGGTTGACACCTCTGAAGGCTTAACTAGGCTAGAGGATCCTCGAAGAACCTCACTCAATCTTGTTCCTTGCCATGTGAGTCTTTTCATAAGGTTGCTCACAACATGGCTTACCCAGAGCTAGTTGAGAAACAGAAAGAGAGAGTCTTTTATAATCTAATCTCAGAAGTGAGAGACAATCACTTGTGGTATGTGCTATTGGCCATATTGGGGATCATTGAAACCCATCTTGGAGACTGGCTAGTGCAGAGATGAATTAAACATTTACATTTCTGGTTCTTTCTGATTGTGACTGTAATCTGTCCCTATACCAACTTAAACCCTAGCTATGCTCTCAGTGAAGATTTTTATTTTTCTCATGCATTGTTTGTTAAATTAATTCTTAGGGTTTCATATGTCTGGGTCCTGTTCTGAATAGAATCTTTTCCACACTGTATTTTCTAAGTAGTTGTTGCACTTGTATAGTGCAATTTACTTTTAGGACTATAATTTCTCAGTGGAACTTAACTGGTGACAAAGCAGAAACTACTCTAGACTTTGACTCATGGGATTACAAACTGAGACCAGGTGCAATTCTAAGTGTGCTCTTGGGAGTAGTTTCCCCAAGCAGTGATATGGGGTGGAGTGGAGGTGGGGTTGGGGGTAAAATGGAAGGAGGGCCCTTCTACAGCCCATCTTTATGTGGGCATATGCCCAGGTTCAGCTGCTGCCTTGTGGTCTACTACAAGGGCCTGGAGGCTCTGACTGAGTAAAATGGGAGTTACCACTGGGTTTTGAGCAGATCTGATTTAGGTGTTTAAAGTATTTAACAATTTAGGCTTTTAAAGGATTATAGGTGGAAGCCAGGGTGGAAGCAGGGACACTGGACTGAAGGTTCTGGAATGAGGAATGTCTCCTCATCAGTCCATCACTGCAGTCTCTATCTCCTTTCCTAGACAGTGGCTCAAGTCTGCTGGCCAATCTCCCAACCTTCTGTTCTTGACTACTTCCTACACCAGCAGTAAGTCAACTTAGACATGCCTCTGAGCCTTCTCCAGCTGAGGAACCTCTAAGGAACTTTTAGGGACATAGCTGGTTTGCCTTTTCCTGCCTGGCCCTCCAGCTTTGCTGCAGAAGGAGTGAGGACTGTGCTCTGTCTGGGCTGTGCATGCAGTCCAGCCCTACCTGCACTGACCTCTGGAGGCTTTTTCACTTTTAGGGGGATCACATTTTGGGATTCTTGAAATGTTTTATTTCAGTTATATGACTTATAACTTTATATGTATTTTTTACTCATTGTGCAATTTAGAATTGTCTAAAGTATTCTCCCCTCCCCCCACTTTCAAGAAGAAATACCAGCAACCATCCTAAACAGGATATTTAAACCAAAAAAAAAAAAAATTCACTGCCATCAAGTCGTTTTCAGACTCATAGTGGCCCCTCTCTCAGTTTCCCAGGCGGTATTTCTACAGAAGTAAGTTGCCCAATCTTTCTTCTGAAGAGTGGCTGGTGGGTTTGAACCGCCATCCTTCTTCTTAGCAGTCAAGTGCCTTAGGCGTTCCTTTGCCCATGCAAAAATAATCATCATACAGAATTTTAAAGAGGAATTACGCTGTACACACTAACCTGCACCCTGCCCTTTCATTTTATCTGTGCATTTTCTCCTGCCATACAGACCCCATTTTTGTGAAAGCGGTGGTATCCGTGCTGAGCATCCCGCAATCCCACCGTGGAACATTGAGAAGATTTCTTGCCATTTGCACAATAGGACATGTGGAAGAAAACCTGTTTGCAGCAACTGCATCCCCTTCCTCCATACAACCAGCAAAGGAACTGAGTTAGCCTGCAAAACTTAACATCCAACGCCAGCCAATTAGAATGGAGAACAAAACAAAGCCAGGTCTATGAAGGCAGGGAACCGTGTCCTGAAGGCCCCCGTTTCCGTTCCAGGCTCCAAGGCCCACTCCTACAATCTGGGCGTTGATGGCCTCCCTGTGTCGGGTTAGGGTCCTCCTTTCCCTAATCCAGGCCCACCAACGTCACCCTCGCCCACTGACCTGGTCTCCCCATGTCCAGCGCCAGGCTTCTTGTGGGGCTGCCCCTGTGCGCTCAGGCAGGCCTCCAGGAGACGCCCCAGACCTTGTCCGAGGCTTCCCAGACCATTAGGGGAGATACCGGGGTGCAAGGTGGGAGTGGCAAGAGCCGGGTAGAGTGGCCCCACGCCTCCACCTGCCCCAGCTCATCTTTCGTGAAACCTGACCTAGCATACGAGCAGGCTGCGCTCTGTTACGGCTTACGTCCCTGGGGTTCGGTGTCTCTGCTACCTGCTGCATCACCCACGCTTGCCAGGAAACAGCCTTCCCCCATGAGGTCTTTTGTTACAAAACAGGGTGCTGAGGCAGCTGAGTGGGAGAACTAATGTGTGCTGTTGCATCCCTCAGGTTTGTCATTCCTGTCTTGCTGCCACCACAGTTCCCCTCCAGTGTCCCTTCTATGGGATAGCACTATCACTACTCAGCTTGGGTACTGGATTTCACCCTACACCCAGCCTCTCATCAGGGCCTGGGCATTCCTCTTCCTCTGTATAGCATTCTGCTTGCCTCTACCTTCTTATAGGTGTCTGGGGTACCAAAAGAAGGATGCTGCAGCCAGGAGACCAGAATCCTTTGTGATCTCCTCCCCATGACTACTACAGACTTGGTGAGAAAGAGAATAGTTGTGCTGTAGGCTTAGGGCAGGACTGGGAGAAGCTGGGGGAAAGCTAAGAGACAAGGAAGGGGAGCAAAGCTAGGAGTCCAATGCAGGAAGAGGTGAAAGGATGAAAATGGGAGAAAAAAGGGAGACGAGCCTGTAGGGCAGGAGTGTGGTGCTGAGGTCCTCAAATACATGGGTCACAAGGGGGGCGGGTGGTAAGTCACCATGACAGCCAGCTAGTTCTAAAGGAAGTCAGCTTGGCTCTCCACATCTTTTTCCAACCTTGTTGGCTTAAGGCGTCTCTGAATTTGTTCTTCATCCTGTGTGTGTGTTTTCCTTGCAGGAGAGAAGCTAGCACTGACTTATACTCCCATTCCATACCTGTTGGGTGCCTGACCCACCTTCAGTCATCACAGGGATGGAAGGGGTCACGGAGGTCATGAACCCGGTCAAGCACTCTGCTAAACCATTTATTTTTTTAAATTCCCTGACTGGGTTACACTTTCAAACCATCCACAGATACATAGTTGCCAGTGAGATTCAAATTTGGAGATTGAAAGGAGCCCCATTGTGACATCTTAAGGACTGGGCAGCCATAGACAAGCCATTTAACCTTCTCTGAACCCCAATTTCTTTGTCCAGATAAAAGGGCAGCTGCAAGTGGCTCTGAGACACGTTCAGGAAGAACTTTTGATTTTGGCGAACAGAGCCTCTTACCCATTATCACTCAGCAAAGGGGAAGGCATCAACTCCAAGCAAAAGGGTGTGACTGATTCAAGGCACCCAAAAGAGGCAGTTTCATTCTTTTTTCAGATGCACTCCAGACACCTTCAACCAGAAAAAGATTGGCAACAACAATCAAAGGGGGCCTTTTCCTGGGATGGTTAATCTACGACCATATGCATAGCTTTAGAACCTCATTATAAGGAAAGGGATGTGTCTCCATCATGTCCCTGAATTACATGATAAAGGCCACTGCAGTTGTCCCAACTGATTCTATTTGTTTTCTTCCTTGGGTGCAGCAGGTAAGATGAAAGATCTTTTCTTCCCATGTGCAGAGGCATCACCTCCATGCATGCCATCTATCCTGGAAAAGAGCAAGGTTGACAGTGGGGTCAAGTGGAACCAGGAACAGGGTTGCCCAAAGCACCTGTCTGGCTTCTCTGACCTCTGTTTGAAATTTGCTCAAAAGACATGGAATTAATAGGCAAAGCCACCTCCTCATATCTGCAAAGGAGAGATCGGTTCTCAGCTGGCCAGGGCAGTGTCATTGATACAGCTGGTGTCATTGTTACCTTCCATTAACAGATCATTCAACACCTGCAGGCCCAGACAGGGCAGGCTTGGGCATTGCTCTGCTGGGCTGGAAGCCCTAACACACCCTCATTCTCCCAGAGTCCTGAGTGGGGCCAGGACTCAGGGTACTGATGACCCTCCGAAAAGGCTAGGTTGCTACTAATTCCTGTTGCCTCCCAGGGTCCCAACTGTCTGGTGCTTGCTGCCTGGCCCTGTTACTGCTCTGGGCAGAGGACTGTGACTGTGTGGCTGACTAACTATGCTACACAAAGAGTGGGTATTGGAAGTGGCCCCAGAGTGAAGGTGGCTCCTCAGACAGTTGTTCCTTGGCATGCATATCTGGTGGCACAATGCTGAAGCAGATTGTGCATGACACATACATTGACACGGAGCTGCTTGCTGAGCTCAGTGATGTGCAGAAGCACATCCTCTTCTACAAAGTGCGGGAGGAGCAGCTGAGGCGCTGGCAGGAGCTTGAGGCTCAGGAGGCCCTGGCCCAGGCAGAGGACTGCAGGCCTTCCAAGACCAAGCGAGGTAGGTGGCCTGGGAGTAGAAGAAGTTAGTAAAGACTAGGCACTTATGTGAGGCTTGGAACCCTGGTCCTGGGAGCATCCAGTCCTAGGGGCCAACCCTCTTTCTGTTGACCAGAACTATAAGGCATCAAGTCTGCAGAGGGTGCTACCAGGGCCCCCAGTGGGGCTGGGAAACAGAGACTTGCTTTGTTTTGTGGTTTAAAAAAAAAAACAACAAGAAAAAACCCACAGCCACCAAATCGATTGTGACTCATAAATTAGGGTTTCTAAGGCTGTATATCTATACAGAAGCAGACTGCCTTATCTTTCTACCTCAGAGTAGCTGGTGGGTTCAAACCACTGACCTTTTGGTTATCAGCCCAGTGCCTTAATCACAGTGTCAGTAGAGCTCCTTTGTCTTGTGGTGGGAGGCAAGTTTTGGGAAGATACCTGCAGAACCTCACATGGTGCTCAGAACACAATGGAAAACTATGGGGAATGACAAAAGTATGTTCAAGAGTATGTTCCCGTGAGTGGTTCTGTACAGAAAGCCAGGTGGCTATGACAACAGGCAGCTCCTCTTTGCCCTCATGCCTACCCCTCATTTGTGTATGGCCAAGTGGTTCTCAGTGGGGCCAGCCTTGTGCAATGTGGGAGGATGGTGGGGATGTGCCTGGAGTCTCCACAGAGCATTTAGTGAGACAATGTCAAGGAGCATCCTGTAAAAGGAGTGACCAGTTCCACATGGTAGTAGCAACTACAGGATAACATGGCCTAGCCCACCTAAGGTGTTTATTTGCAAATCTATCTGTCAATCAAGGCAGTGGACTGTTGCATCTGTGCAAGAGGATGCTGCTTCAGGAGTCATGGGCTTGGAGCAGGCAGGTACTGAGGTTTGGTACAAGGTTTGAGATCCTTCTGGAGTAACTATACAGAAGTTAATGTTTATCAGTGGTTGCCAGGCATAAGAGGGAGGGAGAAATATTCCCTAGGTAGTAGTAATTTTTTTGTTTATAGAGATAGGAAAAATGGCACTTAATATGGGTGAAGTTTGACAGCATGGGCATGTGCTAGGTTGTATATGGTTTTGCAACAATAACAACAATCCACCCCCAAAAAAGGAGAGCTATAAATATTGATGCTGGTTATTCATAACTAGTCATTTCATGGGATTGTTTCTCCTGGTTTGTGGTCCTAGGGCCATGGTCTCTTGACCATAATATAGTTGGCATAATATAGTTCTTAGGAAGGGAGTGCGTCAGGGTTGTATCCTTTCCCCATACTTATTCAATCTATATGCTGAGCAAATAATCCAAGAAGCTGGACTATATGAAGAAAAACGTGGCATCAGGATTGGAGGAAGAATCATTAACAACCTGAGATACGCAGACGATACAACTTTGCTTGCTGAAAGTGAGGATGACTTGAGGCACTTACTGATGAAGATTGAATAATACAGTCTGCAGTATGGATTACGCCTCAATATAAAGAAAACAAAAATCCTCACAACTGGACCAATGACCAGCATCACAATAAATGGAGAGAAGATTGAGGTTGTCAAAGAATTCACGTTGCTTGGTTCTACAATCGATGCCAATGGAAGCAGCAGTCAGGACATTAGACAATGTGTAGCATTGGGAAAGTCAACCACAAAGGAACTGTATCAAGTGCTGAGGAGCAAGGATGTCTCCTTGAGGACCAAGGTGTGCCTGACAGAAGCCATGATATTTCTAGTTGCCTCGTGTGCATGTGAGAGCTGGACAATGAATAAGGAAGACCGAAGAAGAGTTGATGCGTTTGAGTTGTGGTGCTGGCGAAGAATTCTGAAAGTACCATGGACTGCTAAAAGAACTAACAGATCTGTCATGGAGGAAGTGGCACCTGAAATGCTCCTTGGAAGCGAGAATGGCCAGACTTCATCTCACCTATTTTGGTCATGTTGTCAGAAGGGACCATTCCCTGGAGAAGGATGTCATGCTTGGTAGGGTAGAGGGTCGACGGAAGAGGTGGAGGCCTTCAACGAGATGGATTGACATGGTGGCTGTGATGATGGGCTCAAGTATAGCAGGGATTGTGGAGCTGGCGTGGGATTGGGCGGTGTTTCGTTCTGCCGTGCATGGGGTCACTATGAGTCAGAGATGACTCGACGTCACCTAACAACAACAACAACAATATAGTTCTTAAAATTTATGTTCTACCTCCCATTATGGTGACTACTGTTTAGGATTTTAAAAGATTATAAGCAGCCATCTATGATACAAGTAGGGTTCTTTATTCATCTGGAACAAGAGAGAAGGAAGGAAACTAAGAATTAAAGAAGGAATTGGACTACAGGACTAATTGTCCACATGAACCACTGCCTCTTCCACCTTGAAACCAGAAGAACTAGATGGTGCCCAGCTACCACTTCTGAGTGTTTTGATCAAGAACACTACAGAGGACTCCTGATAAAAAGGAAGACAAGTGAGTGTTTCAGATTCTTAAAAAATCTATACTACTGACCTACTGAGGCTAGAGGAGGCCCTAAGATTATGTCCCTGAGTTACTCTTCAAACCTTGAATTGAAACTGTCTTCTGAAGTCAAAGTTAAACTAAATAGTATAGTCCAAAGAGTATGGATATAGATGGTCACATTTGAGTATTGTGTTTATTTAAAAAAAAAAAAAAAAATCTTTATAAGGCCAAAGAATCAATAGCTATTTTAAAGCATTGATAAGAAGGCTGTGGGCCAGAGAATTAAGTAAATGGAAGTAAAACAATTAGAACATAAATAATGAGAATGTTGACACAATGTGAAGAGATCTTTTGCAGCAGATTTGCCCAGTGCAAATTTGCCACTGATCATTATGTCTAGAAACTGTGGAATGGAAGCAGGTTTTGCTGTGTAAACTTTCACCAAAAATTAAATTGAAAAAAGGCAAAAGATCCTTCTGGGGATGGTACTCACATATATGCTGCACTTAATAATGTGCAAAACTTAGTCACCTTCTCTCTTGCTCAGTAACCACAACAGTGCTCCTGTGGGCCTCAATACTTTTCACCATAGTGAAGTATGGATGGGGTCCGTTGAGTTTTGAGTCCAGGACAGAGACCTGTTTTTTGGCTGAGCACATGTGCCTGGGAGACCTGGATGCTGTTCTTCACTTCAGTCTCCTCACTGGGCCATGCTGGCTGCATGCCACAGGCCACTCACACACCCATCCACATATGCTCCCTCTTGCCTCTGGTATACATACAGATCTCCCTGGTTAGAATGTCCCCCTGCTTCCATTGGCTTGACAAACTACTCTGGAACCTGCACCCACCCTTGAGTCTTTGGGAGATGCTTCTGGCACAGGGTAGCACTTGCTGCTCTGTAGCCACATGGCAGCAGGACCATCCCATCCAGCCCTTGCCATACTGTCATTATCCATCTGCTTGCCTGGTCCTCCCAGTGTACTGGGAGAACACACCCTACACTGTCTCCTGTTGTTGGGCCTAGCTGGGAGCCAGCACAAAGTGCTAACTCCTCCAAGTGGGGAGGTTGAGCCAGAGCTTTGATTTACCTGCAATCCTGGTGTGGGGAAGGAACCTTCAGCTCTGTCCTTCCAGTGTGGTAATGTGGCAGCTGCATCACTTGCTGTTTGAAAAGTCTCCTTTACAGCCCTCCTGGCCTGATCCCAGACTTCATATCATCTGCATAAAGCCATTCTGGGAGGCAGACATGCTTAAAAATGTAACTGCAAAAATATTTACACAGTCATTGACATCTACATTTTCATACATAAATTTTACATTAAACATATTTAGAATTTGGTTGCAGAAGACTCTTTTCTAGGTAATCAATTTTCTGGCTTATAAGGAATGGAAAAGAGGGAAATATTTGCTGAGGAATATGTGTACACAGGCCAGGGTCCTGTTCAGAACTCAGTTCTAGCAAGGCATGGGGGAATGAGTCACAAAAGATTCTCAGTAGTCTGCACCTCATCTGTGAGTTTCACATTTGCCAGGAACCTGCCCTGCACTTCATGCTCCCTATAGCCCTTTGGGGTGGCAGGCAAGCTCTCGTGGCCCTATTTCAGATAAGGTGCAGAGAAGTTATGTGACATCTATTGTCACTGAATTACTAAGTACTGACCTTGGGTCCACTGACTACTGTTTTCCATCACTTCTTACCGTAGGGGTAGTGGTGGTTCTGGAGTAGAATTTACTCCTTTCATGCAGGAAGTATCAAGGCTTGGGTTAGGCACACCTTAACCTTCAAAGAGACATCTTTGCTCTTCACTTTAAAGAGATCTTTTGCAGCAGATTTGCCCAGTGCAATATGTTATCTGATTTCTTGACTGCTGCTTTCATTGGTGTCGATTGTGGAACCAACTGATATGAAATCTTGGACAACTTCAACATAGTCTCCATTATTGTGATGCTGTGAGAATTTTTTTTTTTTTTTATGTTGAGGTATAATACATACTGCAGACTATAATCTTTATCGGCAAGTGTTTCAAGTCATCTTCACTTTCAGCAAGCAAGGCAAAGAATACTGAAAGTACCTTGGACTGCCAGAAGAACACACAAATCTGTCCTGGAAGAAGTGCAGCTGGAATGCTCCTTGGAAGTGAGAATGCACCTACTTTGGTCATGTTGTCAGAAGGGACCATTCCCTGGCAAAAAGTATCATGCTTGGTAAAGTGGAGGCTCAGCAGAAAAGGGGAAGACCTTCAACAAGATGGATTGACAAAGTGGCAGCAATGATGGGCTCAAACAGCATGGATTGTGAGGCTGGCATAGGATCAGGCAATGTTTCATTCTGTTCTACATAGTGTCTCTATGAGTTGGAGCTGACTCGATGGCATCTAACAACAATAGCAATTTCTTTCACATAGCACCCTTCTTATTTTTCTTCATTGTACTTACCCCATCTGCCAATTTGCTTCTGACTCATGTTGTTGTTGTTGTTGTTATGTGCCATCGAGTCAGACCTGACTCATAGTGACCCCTCCTTTGGTTTCCGAGGCAGTATCACTACGGAAGTAGATTGCCCCA